GGGGGGGGCGACACTGTTCAGTGATTTATAGACATACATGAGTATTTTGAACTGGATTTGAAAGTGAACCGGTAACCAGTGCAGGGAGGCCAAAACTTGTGTAATGTGCTCTCTTTTGCCTGTAATGGTTAAAAATCGGGCTGCTGCATTCTGGACCAGTTGTAGTCGTGCAATGGAGGTCTGACTGATACCAAACAGGAGCGAATTGCAGTAATCAAGCCTAGATGTAATGAATGCATGTATTACTGTCTCCAGGTTCTTTTTGGACAATATGGGCTTCAGTTTAGACAGCCGCCTCAGTTGGAAGAAGCATGATTTAACAATCATGTTTACATGATTGTTAAGTTTCAGGGAAGGGTCCATTATCACGCCCAGATTAGTGACTCTTTGTTTTTCTGACAGGGTTAGAGTGGAAAGGTCGATGCAGTGGTTTGTGATCGTGTTGTTGGGAGGGAACAACATGACTTCAGACTTCTTTTCATTGAAATTTAAGAGATTTAAAGCCATCCAGTCCCTGATGTCAGCCAGGCAGTTGAACAGCGGTTGAATAGAGCATGTACCATTGTGTCTTAGGGGGAAGTAAATTTGACAGTCATCGGCATAGAAGTGGAAGGGCTTGTTGTGTTTCCGGAAAATAGCACCAAGCGGCAGGAGGTATAAAGAGAGAAGGAGGGGACCCAGTATGGACCCCTGCGGAACCCCCCCATTAAGCTCTGTCTCTGCGGAACTAAAATCCTTGATGGAGACACAAAATGATCTGCCAGTGAGGTAAGATCTGAACCAATTGAGGGCTGATCCTGTGACGCCCACCCACTGCTCCAACCTAGCAATGAGGATCTCATGGTCGATGGTGTCAAAGACGGCTGTGAGGTCCAACAGGACAAGCAGCACAGAATCACCGGTATCTGTGAATCTGAAGATGTTGCTAAAGACCTTCAGCAGGGCAGTTTCAGTGCTGTGGAGAGGTTTAAAGCCAGATTGGAAAAGCTCTAAGATGGCGTGATCCTCAAGGAAGCACTTCAACTGGGACTCGACTATTTTCTCCAGTACTTTAGAAACAAATGGGAGTTTGGAGACAGGCCGGTAGTTGGAAACGACTGAGGGGTCAAGGTTTGTTTTTTTCAGGAGAGGCTGGACAGCAGCATGTTTAAAGGATTTTGGCAGCACGCCAGTGGATAAACTACTGTTTACAATGTCAAGAATGGACGGACCTAGAGTAGGAAAAACCTCCTTTAGTAGTCGAGGGGGGACCACATCAAAGGGGGAGCCAGAAGGTTTCAAGCTGCACATGACCTGCTCTACAGAAGATAGAGTGATGGGTTCAAACTGGTCAAAAGGAGCTACAGATTGAGGTGGGATGGATGGGTCATGAGTTGGAGGGGAAATGAGAGCCCGGGTGGTCGCAATTTTTTCCAAAAAGAAATGTAAGAAGTTGTCGCACAGCTCAGTCGAGGCTTCCAGAGGTGATGGTTCAGTGAGGTGGAGAACAGAGTTTAGGGTGAAGAAGAGGACACGTGGGTTGTGAGAGTTTGAGGTAATTATATCAGAGAACAATTTTGATTTAGCAGCTTTTACTGTTTTCTGATAACAGTGCCAACTCTCTTTAAGTATCTGGAAAGAAACCTGCAGCCTGTCTTTCCTCCACTTTTGTTCCGCCCTCCTGCACTGCTGCCTAACGGCCTTGGTGACGTCACTCAGACAAGGTTCTGCTCGGAGTTTTGATTTTTTGGTTTTAACAGGTGTAACATGATCCAGAGTCTTTAAGCAGACAGAGTTGAACTGGGATGTCAGCTCCTCAGTGGTGGTGAGAAACACCGGGGGCTGAATGATCATTTCAGAGTTATAAGCATCTGTGAAATGCGCGGCAGTGAAGTGGTTAATGGTCCGAGTGCGACATGCAGGAATGCACGACTTAGGAGTTAGATGGGGGAGGGTGAACTCAAACCGGACTGGCATGTGGTCTGAAAAAACATTATCACCAATAACAAGATTATTAACGGTCACATCATGACGGTCACATCATGAGTTAAAACAAGGTCCAGTGTATGTCCGCGCTCTTGGGTGGGACCGTTTACATGCTGAGTTAAATTAAATGAGTCCAATAAATCTAAAAAGTCCTTAACCAAGGGCTTCTCAGGACAGCACATGTGCAAATTAAAGTCACCAATAATGAAAAGATGCTCATATTTTGGTGTGATTTCAGCCAAGAAGTCAGAAAACTCATTTATGAGATCCTTAGACCGAGGTGGGCGGTAGACAAGTGCAAATAACGTCGCAGGTGAATGTCCGAGTTCAAAGATGCTCAGCTCAAAGCTGGCGCGGGAACTTGAATATTATCTTTGCTTGTAGAGGTTCAGGTTAGGTTTATTTGTCTTATGCAAAATCAACACATGGTCAACAATGCATTGAAATGCTTAGGACGAGAAGAACCGTCTCGACTCGCCAAAAAAAACACAACAAGAAATATCAGAAATATTACTAAAAAGCGTATTCAAAAATACTATTTACATACCAAAAAAAAAAACATTAAAAAACAAATAAAATACTAAAAAGTAAGGGGCCAAAGTTGTAAAGAAAAACATCTACATTGAGGTTCTTTCAACTTCATGGTTCAGTTTTGTTAGCGGCGTGGTCATGTCAGCAGCTTAGCAGGTCTTGTTAGCAGGTCCGCTCAGCAGCTTGATGGTAATAAGCACCGCAACAGCTGCCCTCACAGACCACAGTCTAGAACCGGGTCTAACAGAGAGAGAACATCCAAGGTCTTCCCGTGGAACCGAACGGGTCCATAGAGTTCAGTCCATGCAGGCATATGGAGGATAGCGTTAACAGGGTTAGCAGTGTTAACAACATTAGCAACGTTAGCAGCATTAGCAACGTTAGCAATGTTAGCAGGCCCTGCTAGCAGGCCCTGCTAGCAGCTTAATGATAATAATGATCGCAGCAGCTGCCCTCCCAAACTGTCCTCCAAAACT